CCCGAAGAAAATTAATATATAGGCCCCAGATATCGTCAAATAATTCCCGTTTGTCTTTAAGTGTATGTTATCTTTTCCATAGCCAAGCACAGAGACATTTCACAAGGCACAACTTTTACCCCAATTTTTTAAATCATAATGTTGCATAAGAGCGACACATGCTGTTGCATTTGAAATGGGGGGCGGGGTATTGCCTCTTTTTGAAAGCTTTTGTTGGAGATTGTACCACATTTCTTTCTTAAAATATGTCTAACTTTTTGTGTCCAAGAGGATATGAAAACATCTCTTCCCTTTTCGGGTTTTCTCCTTTAGCATCTTTTATCTTTAAGAACCTGACCAACCCTCAGCTGTTTCTCTGTTTTTTTTTTCCCCATGGTCCGTCATCCTCTCAGCTTTAAAGGAAGGCCGAGACCCCTCCACCTTCAGCTGACGGTTTTGGGGGGTTTAGTGCATATGGTGTTGTGGCTGGTGCTCCCCATCTCTCTCTCCTCGACCCTTCACTTCCCCCCCTCCAACATCCTGTCCTGTCTTCCCTCGTTCTCTCCCGCTCTCAGACCAGATGTTTTTGTGCACTTTGAGCAGCGCGGGGTCTGAAGCAGTAACGCAGATGAGGAGCTGAGGCTGCAGCCAGGTGGAATGATGGGATGTTTGGACCTCTGGGGGGAAAAAAAAAAAAAAAGAGTAAAAAGAGTGGGAGAGAGAGAGAGACATCAAATACTGGAGAGCTGGGCCTGGGGAACACATTGACCTCAACTTGGAGAGCAGACAAACCCCTTGCCTGTGTTAATTGCCTTTCTCCTCGTCTTCTCTTTCTGTCCCTCTGTCCGTGTGCCCCCCCCCATCAGAAAGGGTCCTGGAAAATATAAACAGGATGCAGTTATGTCTGATCGTAAATCCCCTCTCGTCTGCTCTCTGGCCTCCAGCCCTGGACCACGTCCGTTCCCCTCCGGCCCTTTGCAGCTCCAACTCCCAACCCAGACCCCCCCCCCCACCCTCCATTTGAGCTCAGAAGAGGAAGCAAAGACTTTGTGTGGTGTGTGTGTGCATCAGGAATGGATGTGTGTCTAATGTACTGTTACCCAACTCTGAGGTTTGGAAACATGGACGTGCGCCTGTTTTTCTAAAGAAGTATCATTTCTCTGTATGTAGCAGTCGATCCTCTCTGAGAAGACCTGACCTTCTCTCTCTCCTGTAGGAGGTCAAACTGCACAGCTGGGCTTATCTGATGTGGGCATGGAGTTAATGTTGCAGTCCTCAAGTCTTTTTGAAGGTCTCTGACTGGGCAGACTCCAGATTCAAAATAAAAACCAGTCGAGACCACCACTGAGGCTCTTTATCCACGTCCTGTGATTAGAAGGAAAATTCCTCCTTCTAAAAGTTAGATTTTTATCTCCCTTACAGTCTGAGGGCGCCTGATGCAAACAAGTTCTTTCATTGACATTTATGGTCTTGGTCTTGGTCTTGGTCTTGACTCTGTCCCAATCCCTAAATGTATTGGTCTTGGTCTTGGTCTTGGTCTTGACTCTGTCCCAATCCCTAAATGTATTGGTCTTGGTCTTGGTCTTGGTCTTGACTCTGTCCCAATCCCTAAATGTCTTGGTCTTGGTCTTGGTCTTGACTCTGTCCCAATCCCTAAATGTCTTGGTCTTGGTCTTGGTCTTGGTCTTGGTCTTGGTCTTGACTCTGTCCCAATCCCTAAATGTCTTGGTCTTGGTCTTGGTCTTGGTCTTGGTCTTGGTCTTGACTCTGTCCCAATCCCTAAATGTCTTGGTCTTGGTCTTGGTCTTGGTCTTGGTCTTGGTCTTGGTCCTGTCTCGATTCCCTAAATGTCTTGGTCTTGGTCTTAGTCTTGGTCCTGTCTCAATTCCCTAAATGTCTTGGTCTTGGTCTTGGTCTTAGTCTTGGTCCTGTCTCAATTCCCTAAATGTCTTGGTCTTGGTCTTAGTCTTGGTCCTGTCTCGATTCCCTAAATGTCTTGGTCTTGGTCTTAGTCTTGGTCCTGTCTCAATTCCCTAAATGTCTTGGTCTTAGTCTTGGTCCTGTCTCAATTCCCTAAATGTCTTGGTCTTGGTCTTGGTCTTAGTCTTGGTCCTGTCTCAATTCCCTAAATGTCTTGGTCTTGGTCTTAGTCTTGGTCCTGTCTCGATTCCCTAAATGTCTTGGTCTTGGTCTTAGTCTTGGTCCTGTCTCAATTCCCTAAATGTCTTGGTCTTGGTCTTAGTCTTGGTCCTGTCTCAATTCCCTAAATGTCTTGGTCTTGGTCTTAGTCTTGGTCTTGGTCCTGTCTCGATTCCCTAAATGTCTTGGTCTTGGTCTTGGTCTTGGTCTTGGTCTTGGTCTTGGTCCTGTCTCGATTCCCTAAATGTCTTGGTCTTGGTCTTGGTCTTGGTCTTGGTCTTGGTCTTGGTAATTGTTACTAAGCCTTCCCTGGGGTACACCAATTTTCTTGTCCAGTTTTGTTATCTTACATCCGTTGCCCTCACAGATTCCTGCAGCTAAGCTTGGATGTACATTTACATTCCAGTAAAGACTATTGATAACATGCCTCTGAAGACTTTGCACCATTACAATACTTATAGGCAACTAGTCATCATATCTTCCGCTCCATGAAACACATGTTAATGCTCAGTAGTTCACATATATGGTTCTTTAATGTATTTGCATTGTACTAAAATGCGTTTATTTTCAATGGGCATAAATGCGGCTGAAACAGGTGCATCCCAAATTTTTTAACATTAACATTTTAGTATAACATTATAGTCATTATGGCCTTTAGAAAAATGTTTTTTTGGGGAGGTGGGGTAGTGCACTATAGACCCCTGTGGTGCAGCCTAAGCTTTTGTCCTTAATGGCATTTTTTTCCCCCTTACATTACTTTTACTTTTCTACTTTAAGTAGTTTTGATACCAGTACTTTCACACAGCTTGAGTTGTTACTTCAACTTCTACAGAAGTCTTTTTAAACCATAGTATCTATACTTCTACCTGAGGAATGAATGTGAGTACTTCTGACACCTCTGACTACATACACATATAGATAAAAATCATGAAATGCAAATGACATTGCAGCTCCAGACATGCCCATTTCTATAGTTAAAGAACAAAGTTAAACTTCTTCAACTACAGATATTTCTGGAAAAAAGATCGCTTGCCGTTAGCAGGTGCATGCAAAAGAAGTTTAAAGCTTAATAACAAATGATGTCGTCTTCTGTTCCTACATTTGAAGTCCACAGGATTGTATCTTTGGCACTTTGCTGAGACAGCTGCTCGTCTTTTGTACGAATGATTAAACCAGACGAGTTTCATGTCCATCAAACTTTTGGAAGTCCTCCAACTGCCAGTCACATAACATGGATACCACGTTTGAAACCCTGAATACACTTCCCAGATATGCGAGCAGGATATTGGAGGAGCGTGCATGTGTGATCACCCTTCGTGTGAACACACTTTTTTTTTTTTTGTGTGTGATTTCTACTTTAGAAGTATTTTTAAAGTTATGTGTCAGGGCTCACTCGTCACCTCCACATTTTGGCAGAACTGATCTTTCTTCCTCAGATCAAACTTCTATGACCTCTTTTTCAAGGCCAAACAAAAGGCTGTTGCTTCATATTGACACATCCATGTTTGTTTTGCTGTCTTCCTTTTTGTTCAGATGCTTAACATCTCTGGAGCTGTGGCTATTCATACCTTAAGCACTTCAATTACACTTCCCCTCGGCCTACTCCCCTTTTCCAACCAAATAATGCAGACCCAATTATCATCCCGGTCAAAAGAGGATTTAGTGTTCATTTTGGAAGATTTGCATTCACTGGGCGTTTTTCATCACAGCGTGTACGAACCTGAATGTTTTGAGTGAATAGTTGGACTGGTTGCATGTGAGTTTGTAATGAATGAAAAGCCCTAAGCCACAAAGACATGATCGCTGCTGCTTCAGGCGAACAAACACCACGTTTATATCCGATTTGACACATTTTATTTGCCAACAGATTCACCATTTTAGTACATTTTATACTGACCTGAAGATATTTTCAGGTTCTCTTTTTATATTGGTTTAAGCATTTTTTATTTTATTTTATTGGATTCTCACTTGATTTTTTATTTTTTTTTGAAAAATCCAAAATAAATGACTATTTTTTTTCTTTTTAATGAAACACTTAAAGGCAGGGTTGGTCATTTTTGAAAACTAGCACAATTTTGAAAGAAGCATTCCCTCAGTGCTCCGTCTGCACCCAACCCCTCCCCTCTGTGCTTCCTCAAAAGCCACGCCCCCTCACTTACATGCTGCAGCGCTGCATTGTGTGGAAACTTGACTATTTTACTTCTCACGAGCCAACGACAAACTCGCAGTATAAACTACAATTCTACAATTCACTTAGCAGACGCTTTTATCCAAAGCGACGTACATCAGAGAGTAAGTACAACACAAGCATCATCATCATTAAGTTAGTAGGTATTCATGAAAGAGCTGGGTCTTTAGCTTTTTCTTAAAGGTGCAGAGGGACTCTGCAGATCCAATGGAGTTTGGAAGTTCATTCCACCACCGGGGGGCGACAGAGGAGAAGAGTCTAGTCAGCGTCTTAGGACCCTGTTGTGAAGGTTGGATCAGACGCCTTTCATTGGCAGAGCGTAGTTGGGGGGAGGGAGTGTAGACCTGGATCAGAGAGTTAAAGTAAGGAGGAGACGTTTTTGTTGCTGTATCTGTCATCTGTGACGCTCTTTGAGTGTGGGCTCGTGCATGCAAGAGGTAGAGAGCGAGCAGGGAGACAGGGAGGCGTCTGATTGGTTCATCAGATTGGTACCTTGTGGCAGACATTGGTTGAAGTTTTTACAGACTTACAACTGATACAGATGACAGATTTTCTTCTTTCCTTTTTCAGAGAACATGAGTTATTAATTTCTGTCAGGACTTAAAAACGATTTCCACCAAAATCTTGAAAAAAGTTGATCTGGAGAAAATGACCAACCCTGCCTTTTAATGATTTGTTCAATCTCTTTCTGCAGGTTTGCACGCACTGAGGAGAGCCCTCGCAGGTTCCCTTCAACCCTCAGACCAGCAGCTGATGGGGACGGTGACCGTCACTCTGCAGGACCTCCAGTGGGCGATGTCTGTCGTGAAGCCAAGCGCCATGAGGGAGGTCGCCATCGATGTCCCCAAGGTAGGGTTCATCTCTTAGCAGCTCCACATACGAGTCATTCTGCTTAATGTGCTATGAACGCACATGCTTCTTCAGGTGATAAACCAGCTCTCTCGGAACGCTCCGTTTTGGTGTGTGTGTCTCTTTAAATGCAATGAGCCCCCCCGAGTTTTCCCAGAAGACATCACTCCTCTGTAGCGAGAATAAAAATGTCGGACCTGCGGAAATGTTTTGCTCTAGGCTGGGGGTGGAGTCCGTGGGTGGAGATTCCAGGGGAGGGGAGGGGATTTTTTTTTTACCAGAATCCCACTGTGACATCACAAGGAGAGCACATTTGAAACGGAGCATTTTTCTCTTTGATGTAAGACTTATGCAGACCACAAACAAACAGACTGGATGGGTTTCCTTGTTGCATGAATTAATACCGTATGTGCACATGTTGCAAACTTTAACCTCTGCCCACATACTTCCAGTCATTAGGAGGTACTACATCCAGAGCAAGACCTTTTATACAGCAGGAACTATGGCAGAGTGATTAAATGGAGTCAATAGTTCAACAGGTTTAACTAAAAGAATAATGTTTCCTTAAGGTGCTGAGAAGGTCCCTGATGTGGAGGCAGGCTGTGAGTGTGGAAGAAGGGCTGTCTGCAGTTTAATGTGGTCAGGGAATGAACGAATAAATACATGTGATGCTTTCCAGGCTTGGAAAAAAATGACAGATTAAGGTCCATAATCTTGCCAGAATGTGTCAGTGTGTTTTTTGAACAAGTTAGCCAAGAAGAGGGAAAAACAATAATGCAGCTGGTGACAAGAAAGCAACATGCATCACAATGACGATGAAATAAAGACACAATAAGAGTGAAAAACATGTGTTTTTGTAGTTAAATCAGATAGCTGTGAGATTTACTGACAAGCATCACATTAACTTAACATTCAGACATGAGTTGTCTCCCCATAGAGCTTTCCTGTTTAGGGTCGTGGGGGGGGGTAACTGACCCCAGCTGTCATTGGGAGAAAGTCAGGGTACACCCTTGGACTTTTTACCAGCCAATCACAGGCTCTGACATATAGAGACAGACAACCAGCCACATTCACATTCACACCTACTGGCAATTTAGAGTCACCAGTTAACATAACGAGCATGTCTATGGACTGTGGGAGGAAGCCTGAGAGAACCCACACATGCACAGGGAGAACATGCAGACTCCACACAGAGAGACTCCTGTCAGACGGGGATTCAAACCAGGAACCTTTTTGCTGTAGCAGCGTTTACCACTTCACCACCGTGCATCCCCTCCTCTAACTTATGTGGCAAATTTCATTGAGTAGACCCTAACTGCCATTATCCTTATGATGATTATATAAATTATTAATTATATATACACATGACTGTATGCATTAGGTTTTTATGCAGACCCCTAAAAGGACATGGTCAGGAAAATTATCTCATGCACACCACAAACTCTACCCTGAACATGGGTAAGTTTCCTGTGCTCACGAGAAGATGTTGGATACCAACTAGAAAGTGTTGCGACATGAACACGACAAAAACAAGAACGTTTTTCTTCCGTGCTGTCTCATCGGATGAGCTCAGTGGTCTTCTGTCAGCTGGAGATATCTCACAGGGTTTCAAATGCACAGGCGATACTTTCTAGTTTCTGATGCGCACCAGAGACTTTTTGTTTGTATGTTTTCATCCTATGTCTCTTTAGGCTCTCTGTAGCCAGTTGGGCTTTCTTGACTTCCTTGTTTTATTTATTTATTTATTTATTTATTTATTAGCACACATATAAGAATGCATCAAAATAGGATTAACAAAAACATAAAAGGTGTGTCAGGAGAGGTCAAGAAGCCAACAGGCTTATACAAGGGACCTCACCTCTTAAGAGACAAATAAATCAACTAAACAAATCGAATTACACAAATATAAACACATTAACCTACAGTAACCTATACACATATTCATACACACACACTTAGACACATACATACAACAGAAATACTGAGAATGTTAACCCTCTATCAGCTAAATGAAACAGGCATTAATCTATTAAAATGGGAGTGAATGAGTTAGTTGATGGAAAAAAAAGAAATATATGTTATATATGCAAAAGTTTGACCTGTAAACGTTGCAAGAAATGTTCCTTAGCAGTAAAAAAAAAAAAAAAAAACAGAAACTATCTTTGAAAAACAGGGCTGCTGGGGGGGGGGGTGGTATCTTGAGCTTCTCCATTAGCTGTGTTCAACATGTCAAATACTTCATGCTGGAAAATATTAATCATTGAGAGGCATGAGGCAGAGAGTCTACCTCCCCATGCCTGCTCAGTTTCATAAAGTAATCATTAATGAAAGAATTTGCACTGGACCTTCTCTTTGTAATCACCATTAGCTGCCTCTGCAGCATTTGACCTTTCAAGGGGCCTTGTGATGAATTGCACTGCAGGTTTGCATCACATTCTCACTGCTTTATTTAAATCACAAAACAAATACTTGATCTAAAGAGAGAGAGAGAGAGAGAGAGATAAACCCATGTTCTGAAAACTCTGGACCACTGACTCCTAAAATCACCAGAACTTAAAAATGATGGGGTCAGGCTGAGGAAGAGTTCCTCCACAGTGATGAAGATGAATCACTTTGCTCTCGGCGGATGAAGGGGAGAAAGATAGAGAGAGAGGGAGGGAGGGAGGGAAGGAAGGAGAAGGAGGGATGATAGGACAGTGGTGAGACTCCAGGATGTTTTGGAGTTTGCATGTGCAAGACATAACGGGGCAGGAAGAGGGCTAACATCATCCTCCACCGGTAATTGAAAGCAGGTCGGGTCGCTGACGGTTCCTGCCAGCACCCCCCCTCCCCCTCCCCCCTAAAAAAAAAAAGAGAGAGAGGAGGAGAAGAAGAAGAAGAAGAAATGTCCTGCATATCCCCCCCCCCCTCCTCTCTGCAACACTCTGAGCTCACCCAGAGACGTTCAGTCCTTGCGGCTGGTTCCTGGAAACTGGAGAGAGAGGGAGTGAGTTTGTTTTTTGTTTTTTTCCTCTCTCTCTCTCTCTCTCTTTCTCTCTCTATCCCCCGAGCGCAGCTGAGCCGAAAAAGGCCAGCCGCAGAGCCCCGGACTTGATTATATCCACATGAGTGCAAACATTTGTTTCTAATCCGTTTTATATAAGAAACTTCCAGCGGTGCCGGATGAATACACTCCTCGAGTTCATCGGAAAAACCTTCTCAGGATCACTTATCTAGAGATTTGAGCTCGGCCGATAACGCCTCCTGATTTATGCTCTATTTACATGTAAATTAATTAAAATGAATTCCTAATCCTGTGTTTGTTTTGGGACCAAGACCCTCTTCCTCTTCTTGACATCTTTTTTGTTTACCAAGCATGATTTTTTTTCTATAATCGTCCTCCACTGTGCAGTCTGGCTTTAATATTTTCATTTGTCTAACAAGCCCGTTTATTCCTCCTTTTTAAACTTACTCCTTGTCTCCCTTGGTTTTTTTTTTTTTTGTGTGTGTGTGTGTGTGTGTGTGTGTGTGTGTGTGTGTGTGTGTGTGTGTGTGTCTGAGTCTGAGAAGTCCCCCCGCCACCCTCCTCTCAACCCCATCAAAGGGGCCAGAGCCTGAGAGGCCCCTTGTAAAGTTCAGAAAACAACAGTAAAAGATAATAACTGGGTCTCGTACCAAAAAGCGAGGGAGGGAACGGGGGGGGGGGGGGGAACGCAGCGCAGCGAGGTGTGAGTCAAAACATCGCCTTGTAATTCCACAGACGCTTCATTCGTGACAAAAAGCACCTTGCACTTAATTTTCCCCTTACATTGTTAGTTCTTACAATGACTCCGTTAAGTCTGCAGGGGGAAAAAAGGGGAGATGGAAGTTTATAGTGTTGTGCTGCACATCTGCTTTCTGGGTGGAAAGAGCGGAGGGATTGATTTGTGTTTGAGATGATTGGCAGGTCCGATGATGATGTGGGTCAACTCAGAGGCTTGAGGCCTTTAAATATTATAAAACTACAAAATCAAGGTCCCATAGCAGCCTCAGAATGCAGATTTTTCTAGATATTTTTTTTATTAAGTTTATATATCAGATGAGGTGGTATTACGCACTAAATCTATCGGACTCGTCCACATTCTCAAACATGACTTAAAAAAATGACCGTCCCTGTCAAAGATTAAAGATAATTGACAATTTTTTATTTACTTTTCTGTAAAAAAAAAAAAAAAAAAACTAATTTCATAAAAATATATCTGGAATTATAGATTTGAAAAAAACAAACAAAAACGTATATAATGGTTTGACCAAGTGATGGTGGTGCACGTTTACAACAAGCGGATACCTCCTGTGTTGAAAAATAAAGCCAATGCTGAAGTGCAAAAAAACTGCAGTTCCTTGAGTGTCCACTTGAGGCTGGATCCGAAAGCCCCTCCAAGTCACATACACACCCCATTAAAAAAAAAAAGCCTGTTTTTACAGCAGAAGAAAACATGTTTACATCCTGGTACAAAAAACAACTTTAGTGTGATTTAGTTATAGTGTTCGTGGGCACACTAATCTTAATATTTGAATAACTCATCAGTTTAGATTTTATGAACGATAGGAGTTATGCACTGTTAGATGTGTGGCTGACCTGCTGTCAGGATTACAGTCAGACCGATAATATCTGCCGATATTGGCATATTCAGCGACTACCGGTATCGGCAGATATACGCATATATCACTAGATTTATTCACCAGACAAATAGCATTTAATTGAAGTTTCATTGTATTAAACTAGCAGTTATTTTTCACCAGCAGATGGCGCTATATAGATTACAACAAGCATGATCACTCTCCAGAGTGTCAAGATTAAAGATGGGGCTAAGAAAGGTATCGGCCGATACATCGGTATCAGATTATTTCTCCCTCCTATTCATTGATATTGGTGTCAGGAGGGTTAAAACGCACCTCAGCTCCAGCTAACCTGTCGTTAAGATGACTGGAAGTTAGGTTGAGACAGCATTTCCTGAGTCAGGGGAAGACCATTGTGGCTTGAATCCTCGGAAAATAAATCCTTCAAACGGGAGCTCCTTGGTGTGCAAATTTCTTTGTTTCTATATACCTACCTTTTTTATATTTTTAATTGAGATACCATTTCAAGCTTGGCTACTGCCATCGGCGGGCTTCCAAAGCCACTAACTAATTAGTGACGTCACTCAGGCTTTGTCCACTTTTATGTACAGAATACGTATGGAGTGTTTCAGTTGTCCTTAAACTGTGGATGTTTAAATGTTGCATTACTTTGAGCACTTCAGTTGATTCCGTTTTATATTGAATTCAGATTTATATTGCATCATTTGAGCCTCTTCTCAATTTACTTCGGTACAGCTGCAAACATTTATTACATTTCATCATAACTCACTGTTTTTCCCTTATTTTACTTTTCCTCGTTCTTCATCCGTGTCTTTAATTGTGTCTCCATTTGTCTCTTTATAATCCTGTTTTCTCTCTGCACATTTTTTAAAAATTTCATTTAATTCCTTTCTGGGCTTTTTAAATGAAATGTTCTGGTTCACATCGCCTGCTTCCGGCCTATCTCTTCATCATCTCCTCAACACTCCTCTTCCTCCCCTCTCTCCGTCCTCTCAACTCGCTGCGCTGTCCATAAATTGTTCGGTATTTACAGTATGTGGCCAGACGCCAGGTTTCCATTAGGTGCTTCATTCCCCGGAGACGGCGCCGGTGGCCTGGGATGTGTTACCTCTGGATGGAGAGCAGGAGGAGGAGGGTGGAGGGAGGGAGGGGGGAGGGAGCGGATGAAGTGAACAAGAGGGGAAGGGAGAGTGGTGAGCTGTAGTCTTTAGACGGTCTGATAGTGAGGGTCAACTGAGAAAGAAGAAGAAAGAAGGAACAGGAGTGCAGAGGAGATAAGACGGATAAGAAACAGGAAAACATTACGTCTACACAAACATGTGACCCGGTGACTCATGGCTCTGAGCGGTTATCTGATTTGGGGTTTAACTTAGTAATTATTTATATTTATTATATTTGATGCTGTATGCTAGAATGTCTTTGTTTTTTTCCCAACACATTTCAGTATCGGAGTGTTTGGGTGGCATGCTTGTGAATACCCAATCCCGATGATATTAAAGATCACATATTATAGTCCTTCTCAACAGTTGAGTCCTTCATCCGTGTCTTTAAGGGGATACTTGAAAACCTGATTTGGATAAGGACACTTGATCTGATGCTGGACAAAACCAAGTTTTCCCGGCAGAAAGAGGCAGTGGTTAAAAAATGAGCTGTGACTCTTTAAAAATGAACCATACAGCGAATATTTGTTTTGCTGGACAACGGTTAAAAGATAGATACTTAAGATTCCTTCTTTTGATTTGTTAGTTTAAGTCATTTAATATTACAACAAATCATGTCAGAATTATTAGTATTCAAGAAACATTGTTTTAGTAATCAAGGCTGGATTTAGAGAAACCACATTTCCTCACCAAGTATGTAAGAAGCCCAGTTTGAAACAGACAAACTCACCATTAAAATAAGCAAATGTTTGAAATAACATCAAGGTCAGGATGCATGTTAACACACTGTACAACTTCCTACATAACCGGATTTCTCCAAGTAACATGCTGTCCTCTCTGAATGTATATGCACTCACTCAGACAGAGAGGGAGAGAGAGGAGGGCATGAGATAAGACGGATAGGAAGCAGAGAGATAGTAAAGAGAAAGATTTAAGAGATTGTAGAAAAGGAGGTTTGAGAGGCAGAAGAAGTGAAAAAAGGGAGGGAGTAATGGATGTGCAATTAAGAAACAGACACAAAGAGAGAGAGGTCTTCCTCTTCTTATCTACTTTATCGCCTCCGGTTGCTCTCCTGTTTCTCACAAGTATGTTTTTTTTCTCCTCTCCCAGCAGTTTGGAAGAATACCGTTGTTGTTTCTTCTTCCTTCCACTCAGGAAGTCAGAGAGTAAAAAAAGGTCGTGTGTGTGTGTGTGTGTGTGTGTGTGTGTGTGTGTGTGTGTGTGTGTGTGTGTGTGTGTGTGTGTGTGTGTGTGTGTGTGTGTGTGTGTGTGTGTGTGTGTGTGTGTGTGTGTGTGTGTGTGTGTGTGTGTGTGTGTGTGTGTGTGTGTGTGTGTGTGTTACATGAGAACATCTTTGACGTCAGAGTGCAATCAGAATGTGTTTCATTTATTGTTGGCGATATGTTTGTGCTCGAGCTGCCACAGATTGGAGCTGTAAGATACAGAGGAGGAGATCAGGGTGACGTACAGACGTCCATCACTCCAATCTTCATCTTTTAATTTACTTCTTGGCCAATAGTTGTTGTCCACCTCCAGTTCAACATACAATATATGATGCATGTTGTTTGACTAAATTTTAAATTGATGAATTGACCAAGTTGGAGTAGAAGTCACAATTACTTTACATCAGTGGCACATGCAGTTTGGTGACAGCAAATGCACAGGGGGAGAATCACAGAGCAGCTGTTCTTAAAGTGATTTACATTCTTCTTATATATAATAAACAACTCATTAAATAATTTAAGAAATAGTTGATACTAACCCGGCCATATAAGAACGCAGTTTGCTGTCATTGTGTAGTTGTTTGGCTTGTTTATAGCTGTGTTTTGTGTCTTTGTTGCTGTCTAGGCGGTACGTCGCTCCTTAATGGAGCAGTATGTAACTCTGACACCTAGTGTTTGACATGGGTACTGCAGTCCAAATTTCAAGTCATTAAAGAGAGATGTCTCACCCCCCGCCCCCCTCCTCTCTAGAGTTGATGTGACCAACGGTTGCTATGTCGGAGACCTTGAAGCTTCAGTGTTTAGCCAGCTCTGCAGCAGTCATGAAACCTTTCTCTCTTTTACAAAAGCATTGAACAGTTCGCTTGCCCGGTTCCATCTCTGCAACATCTATTGGTTTGCCGGTTGCCAAAACGGCCGTGTGGGGGTTACCTTGAAACCGCCTACCTGCTCTGGTCCAAACAAATCAAGACAATTCAGGAGCAGAATCTAAAGTTAGAAGGAGGACATACTGGCTGCTGCATTGTTGTCAGAGAAGCCAGCACTTCAACATAGAATGTTTCCTTAATGTCTGATCATATAGTAAGTTCAACGTCCTGGACATGACCGGGAAGTACAAAATTGTGTGCGTCCAAAGATTTGTAAGCCTTGACTTCTTTTTCTTTAGTATAGATGCTTGGTTTCTACAGAGATGTCCATCCACTGTAACCGATGACCCTCTGGTTCCCAACCCAAGTCCTTAGAGACTGATCCACTGCCGCCCAATGGCAGTACAGTATTTGATTACATGTTCAGTATTTGAATCAAATGAAAGGAGATCTTGTATTTCCTTACTTGTGTTGACAGCCATCTGCAGAAAAACGGTCTTCTGATGACTCTGTGTACTGTGTCTCCACCTTCCAGGTCCGCTGGTCGGACGTCGGTGGGATGGAGGAGGTGAAGCTGAAGCTGAAGCAGGCCGTGGAGTGGCCCCTGACGCACCCGGAGGCCTTCACCAGAATGGGGATCCAGCCCCCTAAAGGAGTCCTGCTCTACGGACCCCCAGGGTGCTCCAAGACTATGATAGCCAAGGCCCTGGCTAACGAGAGCGGGCTCAACTTTCTGGCTATTAAAGTGAGTTTAAATCGATATGTTTTCAATCTATTTTCACAGAGAAGTATCTTTTGTCTATGTCCTGATACACTGAAAAGTGAACGTGTAGCTGTTTACCTTTTAAATACGATTAATTTGAAGGAGAAAATGTGGATCCCCTTCAAAATTACTTGTACTTTCGTTTTGTTTTCGTTTCTTAACGACTTCAGAGCTGACAAGATCTTTCCTCTCCTTCTCGGTGGCTTTGGACCGTCTCTTTGGGCGCCGCTCCCTAACCTATAGGCCGACCCTGCCTGGTTTATGTAAATCCAACAATCTCCTGATGTTTCAGTCGATTGATGGTCTAGTTTGCTGTTTAGGCTGCATTCCATCTTGCGGGACGAGGCCTCCTGGGCTTCTAACACACTGACACTGAAGGGTTACACACTGCTCTGATAAAATGGTGATATGCGCTGCTTTTCGAGATGCGATCCGCCCACTGTGAGGGTTTACATCTGGGATGTAAGGCGGGGGAGACAAAGCCCCTTTAAGTGGAGCCTCAGCCTCAACTAGTGGCGGTCGGCTGCATTACAGCTTACAATTCTACAATTCACTTATCAGACACTTTTATCCAAAGCGACGTACATCAGAGAGTAAGAACAACACAAGCAAGGATCTAGAAAAAAGGGAACAATGTCAGTAAGAGCAAACGATCAGCTTTGAGTCTGATTGGACACACAGGTGCTGACAGGAAGTGACCAGAGGCAAAGCACAACATTGAGGGCAGTTCTTGAGAGCTCTAATCAGTATAGAAACCATCTTATAAGTCGTCGTTATCAAACAAAAACCATCGTCATTACCATCATCATCATCAATAATATGGAGACCATCATCATTAAGTTAGTAGGTATTCATGAAAGAGCTGGGTCTTTAGCTTTTTCTTAAAGGTGCAGAGGGACTCTGCAGATCCAATGGAGTTTGGAAGTTCATTCCACCACCGGGGGGCGACAGAGGAGAAGAGTCTAGTCAGCGTCTTAGGACCCTGTTGTGAAGGTTGGATCAGACGTCTTTCATTGGCAGAGTGTAGTGGGCGGGAGGGAGTGTAGACCTGGATCAGAGTTAAAGTAAGGAGGAGACGTTTTTGTCGCTCTTTTGTAAGCATTTTCAGGAGTTTATTGCATGTGTGAAACTACCCTTATTGTTATTCCTGAGGACGATATACATCTTACATCAACCTACCGCATAATGAATTCATCATCCACATCCTACACACACACAGTGTTCTGAATGTCTCATAGTGGAGATGTTTCAATGCCTCGATGACCTGGAGGGCGTTCTGACTGCACAGCTTCCTGTGCAGAAAGCTTCCCTGTCTGACCTCTGACCCCGTGTTTGCCCCCCCCCGTCACCCTCACCCTGGGCCCTATTCAGACCTGGTTGACAGAGATTGATTGATCAGCTTGCTGAATTTTTTGATCAGTAGATACTTTCAAAGCTGTTGCCGTGTGAGACGGAGAGCATCGACAGAATCTCTCATTCAGGCTCATTTAGGACGTCTGCAGATCACGGTGTGATTTTCAGCCTTGTTTGTGGAGTTTTAGAATAGAATAGATGTTTATTGCCGTTTGCACAGGTACAGGGCAGTACAGGTACATTGGAATTTTTGTGCGTTTCTCCCTGAGTCAGCTTCTACAAAAAAGTTAAAATTATATATGAAATAGAATAGCATTATAAGAAAAAAAAGAGTAGAAAAGTAAAAATAAATAAAATAAATAAAATAAATAAATAAGTTGTAGTAACAGCTAAGTGATTTAAAATAAACTGTACAGAAGCTATGCACTGTATTAAAGCAAAGACATAATACAAAAAATAACAAAGGGGAACACTGTACAATGAAATGAAAATATAAATATGTTTTCTTGTCTCTACTTTCTACATCTCTTATTGCACCTGAGGTTATTGCACACATGTTTTTCACATTATATAATTACACTGTTTTTTGTTTTTAAGGTTAATATTGCTGTTAATATTTACTTCACAAAATAAGGAGACAGGTTCGAAAGGTTTCCCTGAATTAAAGACAAAATATTTCTTCGGATGCAACTTAGATTTCTAAACAGCCACCACAGCACAAAAAAAGAAATGTAAATAATGTGAGGTTTCTTAAATCAGGTCATAAATAAGATAATTTCCTCTTTCCAGGCTGTGTTTTTGTCTTGATTATCTTAAATTAATACATATATGTTGCAGGCTAAAGATGATATTTGACTTGAACTAGAAACTAAACTGGGTTGCTTAGAAAAAAAAAAAGAGATGTGCCAATCTTGTATCAGAAATCAGGGAATGGGAGTGGGGAATGACATGAGGTAAAGCAGACCACTTTTTACATATTTTGGGGGTTAAATACATTTGTGCAGGAGCATATCAAGAGAGGTGACCGTGGGTGGCATTGGCCCCTTTGAAATCTTATTGTCCACCCCAGGTGCCACCTCAAGGTCCTTGACTGTTATTTGCTGTTTGTCTCACCAGAGGTTGGACTTATGTTGGAATCCAGTTTTTAGGCTGTGGTGCAACAACAGGCTGCTCATTGTTTTCAGTGTGCAGATGTTTGTTTGTAATTTTTTTAAATACTTTAAAGTCTTTATGTGATTTTTCACACTTAAATATAATATAGATCAAGTATATCCTCTGAAAATAACTCTGTGAGTCATGACTGTCTACAATGGGTGTAACACCTGAGTCCCACTGTCTGTGATGTTTTCAGAGTTTTCAGAGTCCTATCTTCAGTTTGTTTACATCGCCAGGACGGCCGGCTGACTCCTCCCCTCGTGTATAAAAGTTGTTTAATTGAGGGACTAGAGAAAAGAAGAATAACATACTGTACTCACTGCTTAACTGTGTTTCTAGATCACGCTCATTTCAGGTAAATTTACATGCAGTGTGAAGATACCAGCAGAATAAAGATCACTAGCATTAGCATGCTAACACAACAATGCAGCGCAAGTTGTTTTGGTTTCATGCTGGTGCTCAAGGGCGACATCTGCTGGATGAAAAAAATTGCATATAAAGCCTTTAAATTGTGAGTTTAAACATAAATACATATTGTTTTGAGTCCTTGAAGAGTCAAGCTAAGAAGATTTTTCTGTTGCCATTATCCTGTGTTACTTTAAAGCTGATGTGAGACAGTTGATGTGTGCATACAGAAGGGGTAAATAAATGCTCTTTATAATAGTATCTGCACCTAAACCTCTAAACTTCAGGCCCCCCCCCTCAGCACAGGTCAGAGTCCCAGTTTGGCCACCCCAGTCCAAAAAAGTCTGGACACGCCCCTGCATTTGTCCCTAAACATGTAAAGGTACATCCTAAGTTTGAGCAGTCAAGAGGATATTTTGTCGTCACTTTCACTCTGATGTTTGTGGGACATCATCTCTGCTGTTGGATTATGTTTTGTGTTGAACACAAAGGTGATAACAAAAGGCTTGTCCTTTAATTCTTGTGCTAAAGTTTTTCAAGTCATCAGAAAGAGTGCGTGCTTTGTTAAGACGGGTTTAAAAAAACATCCTGTCCCTCCTGCTGAAAGCCGCTCCACACCATCTGCAATAACAGTATCAGGTTTTTCCAGTGCAGCGGTTGCTTTGACATAGATACGTATCCAGATTTAAATGTGGATACTTTAAGGCTCAGCCTGTTTCCTCTGCGCGAAAAAAGCCCTATTATCATCTTGTCAATTTGGTTTCCTCCCACAGCCGCCACTCACTCACACACACACACACACACACACACACACACACACACACACACACACACACACACACACACACACACACACATCACATCCGCAGAGTCATTCACACACAAACACACACACACACACAGACAGGCTTGTATCTCCTCACTGTCAATGGTTTTAGACTCACCATGTCCAGCTCTTGGCTCGGCCACAGAGAGAGAGGAACCTGGGATTAATGAGTCAACCCTCCACACTTACTGCAGGAGACAAAAAGGGCTGGGAGTTAAGTGTCGTCTCCCCCCGTCAGCACGGAGGTGTTGAAAGGGTGGATTGCAGGGGAGGAAGTTCTTGTGAGGGCTGAGTGGATGTTTATCTGCTTGTGAGTGAGGGAGAGACGAGGGAGGAAAGGACTGAAGGAGACAAGAGAGAGAGGGTATTAAAGGTTCAGTTAGTAGAAGCAGAGAGAATAATATAAATAATGGTGTTTACAGGACAGGAAGTGTTAGGCAGAGGTTTCTTTTGGCTGTATTTGAAGTTAGTTCATACAGTTGGCTAGCTCAATAAGCAAAATGCAGCTTTGATATAAAAACAGAGAACATTGTAATATGCATTTGTGTAATTAGGAAATGTTTCCTGTTAACTTAAATGCCTGACATGATGGATAAGTCTCCTCCTCCTCTTTGTCAGAAAACAACAAAACCTATTTTACAGTAATCAGGTCGGACCCAAAGGTTTGTCTTTGAGTCTTAGTTAAACCTCTCTCCTCTGCAACCCACCAGGACTTTTACGATAAGTTAATATATTTGTGTATCTGAATTCACAAATTAGTTCTAATTGAGCTCTTTTTTTCTGTTTCTGTTGAGCAGAAATCATTTAATACTTGAAGTGAACTCGGAAGCGCAGATCACTGACGAGGTCATTAACCTTGGCTTCTTCATCTGTACATATTGAGTATTATTTTCAAAGCTACAATAAATTGGTCAGTATTAACGATTGTTTGTTAAAATGATCGCGCAGAAACAGACTCGCTGTCCACACTGCATCTGTTCAATACAATCAGTATAACATCTAGTGCTTTTATTTTGAAGGTGAGAAATGGAATAGCGACGCTTTAACAGCGGCGTGTCTTATAAAGTTTTCCTCCTGTGTTAACAAAAGTCTAAGCACAACATTTCAGTCCTGGGTATGGGTATCATTAATGCACCACTATCTCGACTTTGTAAAACAAGCTAACAAGCTCTGCTGAGCGAGAAAAGCGAAAGAAAATTAAGACAAAATGTCCTGCACCACGCTGATCGCCCTCGTTCCTCGTCCCCCCAGCCCTGACGTCATCTTTTGTTACTGTTTTGATCGCGAGCCCCCTGGTGGTGGAATCTACATACTGCCCCTTTAAACCAGTAAACTAAAGTAGCCAGCTCAGTGTGGATTCAGCAGCAGTGGTTGCATTAAAATCTGAACCAGCGAGAGAAACAAGAGAGGCAATTAATCACTAGATTTATGAAACTCCTGAGAAAGGTTTTCCTTTTTTGCATGTTTGAACCCAAAACCTTTTTTTTTTTTTGTCCATGTTGCTCAGACTGTTGATCCTCACTTTATGTGTAGCAGTACTACTGGAGAGGGCTGTAGTAGCAGACCTGGCACTGTAGTGTTGACACAGTGGGTACATTTCTTTATTTGCCAGCTGAGACACAGATGTCACACACACACACACACACACACACACACACACACACACACACACACACACACCATTCTCACATCGCTGTTTCACTGCGTTCCTCTTTTTAATCTGAAAAAGACGCCACAGAGCAGCAGCTGCTTCTCCGCTCTGAATGTTCAATAGAGACACCATGTGAAACTTCAGAATAAATAATATGTATATAAGTATATATCATATCTAATCATGATTAATGATGATGATGATGACATGATTGAACACTTGTAACTTGTAAAAAAATCTGCTGATGAAAAGGCAAAGCCGACCTTACAGATGGTCGGCTTTGCCTTTTCATCAGCAGTTGATCATTTTTGTGATCAATTTTTTATTTAGAAATGTACAAAGAAATTACATCATATATTACAACTGCTTCCCCCTTTACCTCCCCCCACCCCCTAGAGCACATACATGTTTAAAGGTGCATATGTGAAAACATCAGGATCAATCAAAACATTCAAACCTTCCCCCCCACCCTCATCAGCAGCTGATTCTTAATAAAACAAGACGAAGCAGTCTAGCTCAATCACTATACTATTTTAATTCCCAAATAAGGGATAATTTATAGACTGAGGGTTACTATTGCAAAAATGGGTCCCAATGTGACCGAGGTCTTTTATCCATTGGTACCCTGCAGCAAAAAACAAAAACAAAAACAGAACAACTATAAACACATTTAAAATAATGACAGAGACGTTTAAACATGAAGAAGTAAAAATCAATTCACACACTTCATGGTAATTCACAATTTGATCCAAAGACGTACATGACATGAAACATTTGTTACAAATTAACCACAAAACAGACGCCCCCCCCCCCATACATATATATTAACCCGAAAAAAATATTTTAAGAATACCCCTAGATGAATCAAATTTAATTTAGCAATGTTTAAAAAGAAGAAAATTATCAAAAATCAGACATTAAATAACAGTCAGTGCAAACATTGAAGGTGCGATTTAAATGTAAATAATTGTGAGGTTAGCATTAAAGTGTCCAACTAGAGGCTGACTCTTGGGACAGCTGTGCAGATGGAAAATGGAAAAAAGGAAGATTTAGTCCAGGTGTCACTGTGTGCTTTCCCCCACTCAATTCAGAAACACTCAATTCTAATGATCAGGTTACAAGATTTTTGCAAACAGTTTGTTAAGTGTTGTTTCTTCAGCTAGATGTTCCTAATCCTCTAAAATCTCCATATATTTGACTTTCAGACATAAAAAACCCACATTAACTGAGACCTGATGAAGCCAGCGCATGTAGCATGTAGCATATAGCATATAGTTGCTTGAAATGATGCAGTATTGTCTTAAATGGTCCTATCCTGTCCTATAATGTTTCAAACTACTCGGGCCTAACTTGTACATTTGTCGACCTCGACTTCTTCCAGGGTCCAGAATTACTGAGCAAGTATGTTGGAGAGTCCGAACGAGCTGTGAGGGAGGTAAGTCCATTTATCCTCCACTTCCTGATTATTACAATGAAAGGTTCAAAAAATGGTCGGTTGATATTGTTGTTGTGATAAAGTTATGCAGTCTTATATTCTGTTTACCGCTCCAAAATAAAGTGTCGCCTCTGTAGATATATTTAGCAGCTGATGTAAGAAACAGATGGTTCTAAATGTTACTAAGACATTAATGAGTGCTGTATTTCCTGTGTATGCGTGCACCCTCAATGATTCATTCCTCCTGTTCAACATTTGTTTTTTCTGTCTCCTGTTTTTGCCCGACTCCTCGTTTGCAGGTGTTTCGGAAGGCGAGGGCCGTCGCTCCGTCCGTCGTCTTCTTTGACGAGATCGACGCTCTCGCCAGTGAAAGAGGAAGGTACAGTGTGTGGATTTTATTGTTTACATTTTCTTTTTACTTTATGGAAAGATGTTCAAATAAGACCACAAAAATCGATACCCAAAAATAAGTTCCTGCTCATTTGATGAATGTTCACTTCCTGCCTCAGAGCTCCTCAGTGATTGTTCATGTTGACCAGCAGCAGCACTGTGGTCATTCATCGTCCGGCGGCGGTGACAAATGCTCAGTCATCGCTGCGGTCTGCTTTCATTTTACCATCCTCATCGCCCTGTCTCACAAAGATTCACTTATGAACGGATAGTGCAAAAACATCCTAAAAAAGTCTGCATGACTTGCTCTATCGGTTCCCATGGCGACCGCTCTTTTGCGGCTTTTTCCTCTACCGGGGCGGACACACAGAACACAGTCTTGTCCGGAGGCGTTTTGGTGGGATGGCACTGGGAACATCTGTGGCTTAAAGGAAAGAGGACGGAGGGGAGGGGATGGGGGGATGGGGGGGGGGGACAGAGGACACAGACCGGAGGCGCACAAACACTTCATTGTGCCCGTCCATGGCAGATGGGGAAGGCCAAATATGCAGCGTGCTTCCTGGTAAACCAGCCGATGAAACTAAATGTAGGAGGGAGCACTGAGAGGCCAACTCAAACTTTTTTTATGAGAGCTTCAAGTGCTGTAAGAAACTTATTCTAATGCATCTGTTATTGTCAAAGTGATCAGGAAACTTAGAACTACATCTCAACAGGATGTGCTGAACGAACATGACATCTGACCGTTTTTGAAAAACCTCCATTTATTTAAAAAAATCACAATATATGTTTAGAAATATTTAAGTTGCGATCATGACAGAAGATGTGCCTCGAGCTTTGGTTTGAGGAGTTGCAGAGTTGGCAGGTTTTCTTCGGAGCCGTACCAGAGGTGCAGGTTTCCAGGGAGGAAACTCAGACCTTGCCAGGGGGGGGGGGCAATCCTCACATATTGGCCCGATATGAGATGGCACCGATGGTCACAGCCTCACCAAGTCGACCTGCTCCCTCGCCGCTTTGACCCTGTCATTTTCTCCTTCTCGTGGCTTTGGACCGTCTCTTTGGGCGCCGCTCCCTAACCTATAGGCCGACCCTGCCTGGTTTATGTAAATCCAACAATCTCCTGATGTTTCAGTCGATTGAAGGTCTAGTTTGCTGTTTAGGCTGCATTCCATCTTGCGGGACGAGGCCTCCTGGGCTTCTAACACACTGACACTGAAGGGTTTCACACTGCTCTGATAAAATGGTGATATGCGCTGCTTTTCGAGATGCGATCCGCCCACTGTGAGGGTTTACATCTGGGATGTAAGGCGGGGGAGACAAAGCCCTTTAAGTGGAGCTTCAGCCTCAACTAGTGGCGGTCGGCTGCATTACAGCTTACAATTCTACAATTCACTTAGCAGACGCTTTTATCCAAAGCGACGTACATCAGAGAGTAAGAACAACACAAGCAAGGATCTAGAAAAAAGGGAACAATGTCAGTAAGAGCAAACGATCAGCTTTGAGTCTGATTGGACACACAGGTGCTGACAGGAAGTGACCAGAGGCAAAGCACAACATTGAGGGCAGTTCTTGAGAGCTCTAATCAGTATAGAAACCATCTTATAAGTCATCGTTATCAAACAAAAACCATCGTCATTACCATCATCATCATCAATAATATGGAGACCATCATCATTAAGTTAGTAGGTATTCATGAAAGAGCTGGGTCTTTAACTTTTTCTTAAAGGTGCAGAGGGTCTCTGCAGATCCAATGGAGTTTGGAAGTTCATTCCACCACCGGGGGGCGACAGAGGAGAAGAGTCTTTTAGCTTAGACACAACATTCAACCAGTTTTTTTGGCCTATAAAATTAAAAAAAAAAATAGGAATGACAAGGTGCCTTCGTTTAATCGTACGGTCATACGCACTTTCTACATTCATCCGTTTCAGACTTCTAAACAGTCCAGCTAGATAAACCAGATATTTCAGTTGGCTGCTTTTTGTTCTTTGATGTTTTTAGTGCTGCCTTGACGTCTTTCCAGAACAGGATCCGACTCTATTGCAGCTTGTCTTCATCAATCAGTTATTTCTTCTCATGGGACTGACAAGTTCTCTCAGCCTTTTTTTTTTTTTCCTGCAGTATGATCGAGCTGCACTCCTTCCATATCTTGATGTTCACTTTTGCAAATGTACTCTGGTTCTGCAGACAGTTTCTCCCCTCCCCCCCGTAATGCAGTACAGCGTGAGAGTCTGTCAGCTGGTCGTTGGGCTGGACCCGTGCCTCGAGGCCACTCGCCATTTAAAAAAAAAATGCACTTAGCGCTGATCTATAAAGGTTATTTATTGGTCTTCACTTCCTGCCATGTTTAATCAATGAAGTGGCTTAGCACGCCGGCAAGAATTCAAGAACTGTTGACACAACCAGACAGTCTCTGCTGTGTGTGTGTGTGTGTGTGTGTGTGTGTGTGTGTGTGTGTGTGTGTGTGTGTGTGTGTGTGTGTGTGTGTGTGTGTGTGTGTGTGTGTGTGTGTGTGTGTGTGTGTGTGTGTGTGTGTGTGTGTGTGTGTGTGTTTCTTTTCCTCTCGAGGCAGGAGATGAGAAGCACCTGTAAATCTGTCAGCCTACCTGCCACGAGTTCAAACTGGTGGAATGAAATGAAAAAGACAGAAAGAAGACAGGAAGAGATGCGAGCGGGGGGGGGGGCAAACACAGATAAATGTTAGATACAGGGGGGGATTGACAGGGCAAAAAGACAAGAAGAAGAAAATGTTCAGGATTGACTGAAATGAAAATAAACTGCAGGTGAACAAAGACAAGAAATGACAGAGGGGGCTTTTTTTAATTCACCCTCATCCCATTTCAAAATGTCTCCCCCCCCTCTTGAACAAGAGCACCTCTCTTTCTCTGTGACATCCTCTCGTCTTTTTGTCTCACACTCACTCTCTCTCTCATCACCTTTATTCTTCTTCTTCTCGTATTCTTTCACATCATATTCTCTTTCTCTTCCCCCCTTTTCTCTCCGATTCATCGCTCTGTCCTCCGCCTCTATAATCCTCTTCTCTCCTTCTTTATTCCCCCCCTACTATCTCCCTTCTCCCCAGAAACTTTCTCTCCCTCCTCTCTCATTCTTTCTTTCTTTCACTCCCTTCATATCTCAGTGACAGAGCTCTCCTTTGTGTTCGTCTGCAGCCTTCTTTTTCTCTGCTAATGACGTCTGGCACTTCCGCTGGCCCTGTCAACAGAGACTGTGTGTGTGTGTGTGTGTGTGTGTGTGTGTGTGTCAGAGCTGAGGGCTTGCTGTCTGCACTGGGTTGTGGAAAATAACCACCTTGTAATCCAGTGACTAACACACTGATGACTTTCTTTAAGTAATATTCGATGGTTTATTTGACTTACTGTCAATGAGTGCTGCTTTAAGAATCGCTGGTGAATTTTAAGGCCTGATTTATCGGATTCTCTGAACCATAAAGCTCCCCTGTGCTTCAAAAACTATTAAAAAATAACACATACATGAGCCACGATGTTGCACTTCGGTGACATGCTCCTGCATTACCATGATATCACACACTGTAGTTTGATGTTGAGTCGATCTCAGCAGCAGCTCCACTGCACTCTGATGCTCCAAGTCGATTTTTCAACAGAGCCCAGAACATTACAATCGTCCCCGGACAGGAAGCCAGACAAGGAAACGCACAGAGCATCCAGTCGATTTCAAAATAAAACAATATACAGACGTCAGATCGTATATTGCATCAACTTATTTACATGTTGTGTGCATGTTGTTTTCTTTATTCCCACCTGATCGTGTAGTTCTCCTATCATAAAATTGTGATGCAAAGAAAAAAAATTATAATGGCATAATCATGTATTTTGAAACAACAAGTGTTACATGTTTCAAAATAACTGCAATAATCTTGTTTTTTTTTTTACAAATGGTGCAGCCTTGCAGAATAGAATAGAATAGAATAGAATTACTTTATTGATCCCAAACTGGGAAGTTGTAGGGTCACAGCAGCAGGTTATCCAACACACAATATTAGCAAATAAACACAATATAATATTAAATGCAAAGTAAATAAGCACTAAAAATATCAAAACTAAGAATGAGAATATATAGGCCTACATCCAGGATTTAACTTTAACATTACTAGTCTTAAATATGAAAGTTTAAATACAACAATATACTTTGCTGGAGGTAGATGTAAATGTGCAAAAAGCAGAGTTCTAAATGAACAGTATTGACATAGGGAGCTGTCCAGAGCTGTGCAATCAGTGATACATATGTTAAAGTGCAGGACTGTAGACATGTTATCAGCAGAAAATATTCTATGTAACGACGAGTAGACAGACAAATTAAGTGAACTTGAGTGCAGGGATAATTTGTAAACTTAACATTTAACAGAGCTCTAATAGTCCAGCAGGGGACTTTCTGATAGTGAAGCTTTATTCAAGCCTTGCTGCATTGCAATCCAACAACACAGCCTCAGTTCATAATGTGTTGTTCAAAATGTGTCAGCATGTTATTAAAAAACATTGGGGATGATCCAATGACAAAGTTGCACATTCTGAGCTTTCTGGTTTTATGTTGCGCAATAACACTGATTTTCGTCAATGGACACCTGGGTGGGATTTCCAGTATTTCCAAACTTCCGAGGTTGTCTGATCGGAGGCAAAACATTAACAAGCCCAAACAAGGGGACATATTTGTTAACTTTGTATAAAAGGATGGCTGCTTCACTTGAGCGGGATGTTTTGAGTTGCAGTTCAGTCCAAACGTCATTGGCAGGAAAAGTCAAGGTTTTTGTGCCAAAGGCTTTTTCCTTTAAGAGAAATTGTGTTAACGAAAGAACCTGCTATCAGAGTGTCAGTGAAACTATTCAGAAGTCCCCTGCAAGGATCCCACCAGCTGGATGAGTTCACGTTTAAGTAATGTAGTAATTAATAATGATGAATGAGAGATGTTTGGGGGCATGTGTTGGATTAAACTCCTGAGAGCATGGAGTTGCTTTCTGCTGAATATTTATATCATCCAGGCATTTTCATATTTTAGCTTGTTTTGTTCATTTCTTCAGTTTGTACCGCCTGTCCTCACCCAATTCCTCCCTCCATTCATCAATCAATCAATTTCAATCAATTATTATTTGTATAGCGTCAACTCATAACAAGTGCTATCTTGAGACACTTTACAAAAAGCAGGTAAAAGACCTTACTCATTGTTATGTTACAAAGAGCAGGTAAAAAGACCTTACTCATTGTTATGTTACTAAAGAGCAGGTAAAAAGACCTTACTCATTGTTATGTTACAAAAAGCAGGTAAAAGACCTTACTCATTGTTATGTTACAAAAAGCAGGTAAAAGACCTTACTCTTTGTTATGTTACTAAAGAGCAGGTAAAAAGACCTTACTCATTGTCTTTTAACATTACAAAAAGCAGGTAAAAGACCTTACTCAAGACCATCCATCATGAGAACTTTAGCAAAGCAGCAAACGTTACAGTGGTAAGAAAAAACTGTCTTATTAAAAGGCTGAAATCTTCGGCCGGATCCCCGGCTCATGACGAGACAGACTAGACTGCTCCGGGCTTGGAAAGGATAGAGAGAGAGAGATGGGTTTCTGACTTATTTACATCCATCCTTTCCCCCTCCATCATCCATCCTTTGCCCATCCATCTCTGTTTCCCTCTCTTTTGGATCCCGTCCACTCATCTATCTTGTGCTCTCATCCACCTCCTTCAGCTCTTCAGGCTCGGGCGGCGTAGGAGACCGCGTCCTGGCTCAGCTCCTGACAGAGATGGACGGCATCGAGCAGCTCCGGGACGTCACCGTGCTTGCCGCCACCAACCGGCCCGACATGATCGATAAGGTAAACAGACGCCCGGCTCTCTTGTCTTCATCTCTTGTCTTCCTCCACTTTGGTTCCCCCTGATTGATAAGGGGTTTGAGGGGATGTTGTGTGTTTGTCCTGCTTGTCTCCTCCGTCCCCTCCCTTCCTCTTGTTGTACATGATTGATAAGGTCAAAGGTGGCCTGCTCCTGCCTGTCTTCTGAGACGCTCTCTCTTTTGATGCTTTTGTGCAGTTGGATTGGAGAGAGAGATAAATGTTTATCATGCTGGAAAGTGGGGGGGGTTACCTCAAAACACAAGAGGTCTATTGCATACACAGAGGTGGTTTTGTCAGATTGATTACAAACCTGACTCCATGGATCAGATCTGTTTTTATAAAGAACATCTGTAGAGAAGTTGATGCTTTTGTATCAACTGGACTAAGTTGGATGTTATTATGTTCCTGTCTTCACATTTTCTAAGCAAGGGTTGGATTGAAACAGCTGCTTTGATTTTTTTCATGTACCTGAATCGGATTCGACACAAACAAGTCGTTCCTTATCCCTCTTATTTTAGCCCATGCAAATGAAACAGTTCAAGTGATGGCAGTGTGGATTAGTCTGTCTTCTACTTTGTTCAGTGCTGAATTATTTCAACACCTAGTGGATGGATTGAACTGGACATTTGGTAGAGGCCCACTAGAAACCCAATGACATCAGTGATCTACAGACTGTCATGTAAAACCTCGAGCCATCCAAAGCTTTCTCCACTTTGGTGAATTATCTCTTCCTTCGCTTGACTTGTTCCCTCAAAAGTCCTACATTCAAATTGCCATAGTTTTCATCCATTCATTGGATTAACATAAAAATATTATGACCTATTACCTGCCACGCTAGGTCCTTTCCCAAAATACTTAACTGAACATTTTGTGTTTCTTCATTGATGGATTTTTTTACTCAGCTCACAGCACACACAACTTTTAAAAATGCTAAATATACAACATAGTGCAACTGAGCAGAAAGCTGCTGCTACGGCTAATTGAGTGCAATTGATTAGCAGCTAACATGCTAAACCAAGACTGTAACTACCAAGACCAATATACCTTCTTGGATTTTAGATGCTACCATTCTCATTTTGTTATCAAAGAGCAATGTACAACATATTTTCTCTAACACCCTGATGAAAGCCCTCAGGCTGAAATGCGTCTGTGTTTTCCCACGTTTTTTCTTACCTTTCCACTTTAACCTCTCCCACACAAGTGGGCCTGTAACCGCTTCAGAGACCACTCCACAACCAAACGGGGGTAAGCTGGTCCACTGTTGTTTTTCCAGAGATTTGTCCCTGCTACAGCGCACCTTGTATTACCCAACATTACCCCACAAACATTGAGCACTCCAGCTTTCAGTCATAGTTTTACTACTGTATATTTTACCAACTTTATTTTTCCAATCTCCAATTCAGGAAAACATCACAGTCAAACTTAATTGATAATATTTTATCCATATTTTTCAGAATCAGAATCAGAAATACTTTATTAATCCCAGGGGGAAATTTGTTTTGCTACAGTTGCTCATAACACCAAAAATCAGTAGGAAGTACAGATAAGTTCACAATATAAAATAAAATAAAAATAGTATATAGTAATAGTATAATAATATCATAAGAATAAGTACCAAGTGAAAGCAATAATAAAGTAGTATAAGTAATAAGCTATGTAGGCCTATGGAGTCAATAATCCAGTATCTGTGTCCATTATTTGTTAGCAATGAGCTTTTGAAAAACAAGGTTTCATGTAAAACATTGCACCCATTATGTGTTCTGTCAGGATTCATTTATAAAGCAATCAACCCAAATGTTCAGGTTTCAGCATCAGGTTGTTGCCATGAACAGAGACAATGAAAAATAAGTGTAAAGAAGCTGTTTGAATTAGATACAGAGCGATCAAAACGCAGGTAATACATAAACATCTTTCTTTTCTTTGTACTTCCCTTCCAGGAAAACTTGAGTTCATAATGATGCTATTATCAGTCTTTTTATACCTCTGCTCCCATTCATTTTATATTTTCCGCCCTTTTATCTCCCTCTCTCTTCCTCTTCCCATCTACAATAGCTTCCTTTGGTCTCTTATCCGCCCATCTCTGTCCCTAATGAAATTTCCTGAGTGCTGATCAAAGAAGGAGTCTGTGTCATGTCAAAAAGGACACATGAAGGGAAAATGTCGCGGTGCTTCTTAAGCTCCTGCTCGGCCTGCAGTCTGTCTCTTTGTCCACTCTTTTTTAAAAAATTTTTATCATTTGGATCTCTTCTTCCACTCACTGTAAATATTCTGACACCTTTGTGTGCTCCACCGCTGGCTTCTTCACCGCCTCTGTTACTACCTCCAAAGATATAATACAATATTCCTATCTCTTGAACATTTTGAAGCTCAAAATAAACTTGAAATCACTTTTGGAATAAAATCATGAAATATGTTCATCTCCACACATTCTCCAGCTATTCCAACATTTATTTTGTCCTCCATTTTCTCCTTAAAACCCTTTGACTTGCATTGTAACCACGTGGTTGACCTTTTTTCCGCCGCCATATTGCTGTATTTAAAACTCTGAAAACCTATCTTTGGCTGTTTATCCTCATTCACCTCATTGAATAGTGTATGTAACTCTGATTATGTCCAATGGGTGGTGCCGCTGTACATCATTATCATTGTCTTAAAACTGTGGAAAACACCGGGGAGTGACTCGGCGCTGCACAGCTCCTCACAAATCTCACAGAACAAGAACATTTATAGACCCTCAAACAATCACATTTTAGTTGAAGGAAATATATCCGACAATAAAATATATATCTTCGATTCCTCAGAAAACACGGTTGACCGCTCGGTTGAGTTGCTCGGTTGAGTTGTCATTCAGTTTGTTAAATAAATTATTTTGGGTTATTTGAACAAGTTCTACTCTCTGTCATGTTTACCGGTATATATTAAAAAAATCAACATTTTGTTGCAGAAATGAAAGAAATCCATTCATGTCCAAAGTAACCCTAAACAGGCAAGTCAGCCAGCTGGTTGACCTGCATATCTGCTTCCTTATTGGTTAATCTGAAAAATATAACCTGAAATGTTGTTTAATGAAGAGGCAGGAACACAATTTACCAACAAATATTTTTTTGCAAATGGATTTCTTAGTGTGGAAGTGAAAAAAGTCAAACGTAATATTCACATATGTTAACTAAGGAAAGCCTAACATGAAGCGGAGCGTCTGCAGTTGTTTCATGTACAATGAAACTGCTCACCCAAATCTATTAGTAACTCAAGATACTCCTTGGAGAGATCCTCCGCGTACTAGTTTTGGGCAAACGCTCCACCCCGCTCCCCGATTACTGCCCCACTTGCGGAGAGTTGATGTATCTCTGCGGTTGAGGAATGACAGGAACTTCCTCCAACTCTGCAACTGGTTGCCGTCTCTATTCAGACTCCATTAGCAGCATGTTTGCATGTGTGTGTCTGCAGGAGTGAAGGATGCATTAATAGAAAAAAAAGAGAGTGAGACAGGAACTCTAACAGTAGGTAAGGGGGTCAAGCCCCTTGGTGGACAGATGGGGAGACCCCATGCGTCCCTCCACAAGCTGGCCTCCCTCTCAGGAAGTGGTCTCCCGGGCAGCTGAGAAATCAGATTACCTCCTCCTGCCAGCGCCCCCCCACTGAGGCTGAGTGTGAATGTGTGTGTGTTCAGCAGGGTTCAAGTCATTTGAATAGAGAAGCTATGACACACATTTGGAAAGGAAGCTGCCAAATGGTCAGATAGGCACCCCACTTTCTCACCCTCACCCCCCCTTTCGGTTTTAGCACCCAACCCGCCCTTTACCACCACAGACGCTGCCTGTCAGTTCACACCGGAGATGGGCGAGCATTTCCATACCAATGGCAGGATATGATGGGACAAATGAAGATTAATGGGACGCCTGGGTGTCAATGAAGTCATTGTGGACTGTAGGCTGAGGAGGCTCCTGGGGGCCTCAGCTGTTTGACGGACAGAGTGGGAGGGCTGGAGGGAGGAAGAGAGGGGAGACAGCGGCGTTCACTTCAGTTTGAAGGGAGCAGGCCTGATGTCTGTCTTTCAACTGCTGCTACTGGGCCATTTGGATTCTGACTTCTTATCTCGTTGAAAGTTTCTGTTTTTTTAGACAAAACCTTTAAAGTGCTTGAATGAAAATGCTGTTTTAATAAGATGCTGGCTGTTAAAAAGAAAGCCTTGTAAATGGAAGCAAAATATTAGGAATACATGTTTTTTGTTGCATAAAATTTTGCATGTGTATGAACCTCTGCGTTACTTTAAAGCTGCTTTGAGGAACTTTCAGTTTGTGTTGATTTTGGCGCCCCCTGTGGACAAAATGGTACCTCTTATCACTTTGCCAATCTTGTACTTTATAGTAGTAGTAGTAAGTGACACCCTGCGGCAGCGGTTTCATGCATGCAAATTTACAAAAATAAATAAGTTATAATTCTTGTTACTGAAGGTCTTGTTTAGTCAAAAAGAGTCATCGGCTTGTGTAAGACCTTCTTGGGCTGGCAATGGGTTTAAGGCAAATTGTGAGCATGCAGCTAGATGAGCAGTTTAGCCACCAAGGCATTTTATTGGAGATGATTGGACAGACTTATTACAAACACCTAAGTTTGGTTAATTGCTGCTTTTTGGGTAAAAAGAACACTCAAGAACAGAATTTTTGACCGAGAATTCAAATAGATCTTTAGGATCTTTAGGTTGGCTGATTCAGGCTTACAGCCTACTGTATGTTTGACGTCGACATTGAAGTCTGTAAACAGAAAACAATTTACACTTCAATGCAGGTCATATATAATTTATATATCCCTGTTTTTTGTCCTCCTTCATATCTATTGTTCATTATGATTTTAGTGTTGCCCTACTTCTTGTTGTTGTGAAACATATGAAACTCTAGTTTGGCCAGAAAACAACCTGATGATACAAATCTCTCATAGCTTTGCCATTCACCAGTAGAAAACTGTTTTATTGGTGCATTTTGCAA